AGACCTGGCCAAGGGCTTTTTTGATGGAAAACTTGTTGATTTAGTAGACGAGGAGCTGGTAAGCAATTAAATGTATGGATGCATTTTGAATATTTTGATAGTATATTTTTTGGTGTCTTATTATTTTGCTGTGATTTATGTCCTCGCTGTTTTACAGCCTTTGATTGTGGATACACTTCCACAACCTTTCAGTGATGAAATCAAGGGAATAGCAGCGGTTTCTGGCATCCCTCTAGGTGAGATTTTTCACTTTTGATTGTTTTTGATTTTGTTGTCGTTTACATTTTATTTGTTAAATAATAATTATGGTCAATGCAAGCAATCTAATAAAATTAAATCTCAAACTAGCTCCTTAATTGTCCCCATTTCTTTAAAAAGGTATCGCAACTGTAATTTATCATTTTTATATTTTTGTACATTTATTTTATGTGTCCCTCTAGGTGAAATTACGCTGTTCAATATCTTTTATGAGGTTTTTACTGTTTGCACATCAATTGTTGCAGAAGACTTTAATGGTGAGAAAATATATATCAGTTTGCATAATGTTTTAAATCAAATTTAATTTTAATAAACATTTTATTACATAGATTTTTTCTTTCTTTCTAGGAAATATTTACCATGGCCGGAATTTGGACTTTGGACTGTTTATGGGGTAGGATTTTTATTTTATTTAACTTTTTTTTTGGCAAATAATAGGAAAAAAGATCTGCACACTGTTACTCTCCCTAGAGGCAACGTTTCGGTCAAAGACCTTCATTAGGCAAGGTCTTTTTTTTGCCTGACGAAGGTCTTTGACCGAAACGTTGCCACTTTTAACTTTTTTTGAATAAAGGGAGGATAACCGTGTGCAGATCTTTTTTCCTATTATTTGATGTACCTTTTGATCTTGCACCTGGCCAAGACATTTTTGGATGTACGTGCATACTCACTTTATATCATGTCATAAGAATGATGTGTTTTTCATAAAGGTGGGATCGACAGAATAAAACATGGACTTTAACAGAGAAGCTTAAGCCTCTTGTGGTGAATTTCAATTTCCAAAGAGGCAACAAAACCGTCTTTAAATCCACAAACTTTGCTGGATATGTTGGCATGCTCACTGGAATTAGACCTGTAAGTGAATAAAGATTTTAAAAAATGATGCGGTAACACTTTACTTGAAGGGGTGTGCATAAGACTGACATGACACTTTCATAATCATGACATGACACATGTCATGAATATGAAGGAGGTTTTATGCATGTTTATGACAACTGTCATTAAGTGTCATTCGCTCAGTTATGTAATTTTTAATGCAAATATGACATTATTTGACCTAACCCTAACCTAACCCTATCCCTACCCTTACCCCAACCATAGCCCATAACAAAGACATCTCAAACAATGTCATCTTTGCATTAAAAATGACATAACTGAGCGAATGACACTTAATGACAGTTGTCATAAACATGCATAAAAAACCTTCATATTCATGACATGTGTCATGTCATGATTATGAAGGTGTCATGTCAGTCTTATGCACACCCCTTCAAGTAAAGTTTCAGTTATGCTTCTTTTTTGTGTAAATGTAAAACAAATAATTGTTTTACTTGTTTAGGGTGAATTCAGTCTAACAACGAATGAGCGTTTCAACCTTGATGGGGGTTATGTAGGTAAGATTTTTTTAAATGATTATGACAAATGAAATGTAAGTGACGGGTATATAAACAGTTATTTTAATGTTTAAAGTTTGTGAAGAACTAACACTACACAACACTACATATTTATTTCTTCTAAACATTAGCTACAAATCATGGGTGCAACTAGATGTTTTTGATGGTTGACTGATTAGATAACATCATAAATTCTCACAGGGATTCTGGAATGGATTTTTGGCAAGAGAGATGGAATGTGGATGGGTTTTCTCACTCGGAAAGTTCTGGAAAATGCTACCAGGTAAAAACAACACCACACTAGCGTAACATGAAAGCACAACTTCCTTATTTCTCTGTCATGACCACATAGTTCTCACTCGCACACTTTTTTTGTAATAATTTAAAAATAGCTTTCATCAGCTAAAGTAGTAACCTTCGCACTCTGAAAAAGGCACCATGTGTAGATTAAAAAAAATTAGATTTTTATTTTAAAAATATTAATATTTGTGACAATATTTGATACTCTTGTGACAAGAGGACACGAGTACTCATCAGTCTTTTTTTCTTGCAGTTATGAGGATGCCAAAGGCCAGCTCTCTCTGACGAAACTGCTTGCACCAGCTTACTTCATCTTGGGTGGTAACCGAACGGGTCAGGGTTGTGTGATAACCAGGACGAGAATAAACACATTAGACATATGGGAGTGAGTAAATCATATCACACAGAAGTACCAAATTTCTGTCTGCAATGTTTTAAACTGCCCTAAAATTTGTTGTTAATGATGTTAAAGACTTTATATGAAGCTTGGGAGATGGTACGTCCTGGAAACAAACTATGATCACTGGGAAAAGCCTATGATATTTGATGACCGCAGAACACCTGCAATGAAGTGCATGAATCAAACCACACAAGCGGTATGTGGCATTTTGTGTTCGAAATAAAACGGCTATGTAGTAGTAATTAAGAGAATAGGTTAATTAGTTTTTAAGTGCTTTTAAAATAATGTGCATATTTAGTAACTAATTGTTCATGAAGATGGTTTATAGAAGATAACAAATTGTAATTTCCACAGAATATTTCTCTGGCATCAATATATGATGTTCTGTCTACAAAACCGGTTCTTAATAAAGTAAGTCTTCCTTTCAGTTGAATTAACAACAGCCTTACACTTACATATATCATACTTGTATTTGGTAAATTTTTTTAATTCATTGTTCTTTCTTTCACTATTTTTGCGACGGAGAGAAAAAAAAGGTTGTTTGATCACATTTCTGTATCTGGTCTAATGTCATATAATAATGAAGCCATTTTCTGTCCTGTCTTTACAGTTGACAACCTACACGTCACTGATGGAAGTGTCTACTGGATCTCTGGAGTCTTATATCAGAGATTGTCCAAATCCATGTACGCCATGGTGATCTGCCATCAAATCTGAATTAACTAATGCATATGAAATACTGTTCTGGATATCTGTCATTACAGGGCAGTGTATAAGAAAAGGAGGATCTTAAAAATCATAATGGTTGCAATTCTATCTCTGAACTTGCACATATCTCTTCACATGGACATGTCTGTTGTAACTGCTTTACCACTGCAACATTTGTGCAATTGTGCAAAAGTATAACTGTTTCTTTTGCATAACAGACTCTGAATAACCGCACATTTTAAATGGAAATGTTTTTTTATATATTGTCTTTGAGTGTTGCCTTTTTCTTTAATATTTTGATGGTATAAGGAAATCAATTTTTCTGAAATCCATGGTAATGATGCTGAAAAGTATTTTTGTAATTTATACTGGCATTTTATGTGTCTCTTTCTGGCACTGTGTTGAATGTGTAAGTGGAGGTATTACGAGTTACAAACAATAATAAAATGTTTCATCAACAAAGGCTAAACTGAATTTGATGTGTGTAATTTTAATCCTTTTTACACCTACAATTATTAAACTGATGCAGTCCAGTTACAATGTCTCTTTGTTGGTGGTCTACTTTTGTAGCTAAATGTTAATACATTCAGTATATTCCTATTAGTCATTCAGGTAAGTTTATTCCCTGAGACCCGGAACAGTAGGCCTATGCTTGATTTCAGAGGCAAACTTACATTAAGTGGTGGCCCCAGCCAAAATGTATCAATAAGGCCATTTTTGTTAAAATATAGGTATTAGTTACCTAGAGAAATAATTATATAATATACATTGTAAACTTTTGGGGCTTAGCCCAAATCTTGGTAAGTGGACATTTTTCCCCATTTACAGCAGCTATAAGTTCCAGTCCATTTTTTATGCCCTTCACTCGCAAACTTCCCTCGGTTGTGGCTAGAAGGGCTACAACCAGTGCCGATCCTAGACTTCTGGTTCTGGGCAGAGCCGATCCTCCCTATACGCAAAATACGGAAGCTGCGTAGGGCCCCCGAAACGGGCCCCCTTGCTCTCAAAGATAATTTAATTTTAGTTTCGTTTTTTAATTTGGCCAGCGATTATGAAAACATGAATGGTGGAGTGAAACATGGACAAAAGCGTTTCATTCATTAAATTATAACCACTCATACCCCACTCCACCACCGACACAGTTTTGCGTAGGACCCCCAGAAGCAGTGCCGATCCTAGAATTCTGGGGGCCCTAGACTTCTGTGTAATTTTGTTTATCTCAACCAGTAATTGGTGGGCGGAGTTAGTGTAAATAGCTTCTGCCAACGAGGTGGACTATTGCACTTAGTTTAAATAGACACTTTGTTAATATTAACATTTCAGATTATTTAAATGATCAGCCCTTGGAGCGGCCCTCAAAATGCGGGGCCCCAGGCAATTGCCTGCCTTGCCTGCCTTATTGCTACAGTATGCCTCTGCTTGATTTAAATTTAAGTAGAAAACTAATTGCAGCAGGTTTCTTTTATTTGTTGTGCATATGCATGTCTATCTTCTGCAAGATAAATTATTCTTTTAATGGTTTTACTTTTGGAATGAAACTCCCTCTCTCTCTCTCTCTCTCTCTCTCTCTCTCTCTCTCTCTCTCTTAAGGATCAGTGTGCCTCACACATGTTTTTCCCATTTTGTTTTTATGGGTGTTTCAAATCAGGTATTCGTCCCTGCATATCAGACATTCTTTAATAAGGATTGTTCTATTTATTTTGTAAACAAATATGCATGTGTTTTAGATTTACAGAGAATTAAATGTGTGCATCAATGTAAATTACAGAGAATACTTTTTTTTTTTTATGTAAAAAACATCTAAACTTTAAGGACCATTCATTTGTTTTACTTCAATTTTACTTGAACAGATTTAAGGATTGAGATCAGATGTCTCAATTTTTTATTAATTTACAGAAGATTTTCAGTCTTCTTTGTGACGTCTCGGGAGCTGTTTGTAGTTATCTGCACATCTGTTTTGATCCAGAGTGACTCAGCTCAAAGTAGTGCACATCCAACCACAGGAAACTTTGTCAGGCACCAGAACAGACCTCAGAAGCATCTGTACAAGCTGCTGAGATTGTGGTTGTTCTTTAGTGCTTAAATTGCACACTGCATCACTTGGTTTACAATCTTTTATCTTTAAATACAGCATCAAATAAGTACATCTACAATGTCAGTTTTGCTCATCATTTGGATACTTTGTACTACTCTGGATTTGTCAGACTCTGTAAGTATTGTCTTAAAATTAATTTTGCTTCTTTCTTATGTGTTTAAATTACATTTAGTTACACCTAAATGAAACAGTGTGTTTATACTTTATTTGTATGTTGAGTTTACAGTAGTCATTCTGTGTGTTGTGTGTTTAGACTCCTGACGAATGTGAAGATGAGATACAGCGTCTTCGAGCGGAGTTGAAGAGTTTGGAACTTCGCCAGACAAAGCAACAGCAACTTATTCAACGATTAATGAATCACAACCAGATGGATGAACATTCCCTAAAAGCGGGCTCATTTTATGACATGGGAGACAAACAGTACATGGGTCAAAGCTCTATATTATTTTCTTAAGATGTAGTATTCATTGTGTAAATATGTTATACTTGTCTGATTATAACAGCACAATGTAATACTAACAAAAATCAATCTGCCACAAACAGACTGTGCTCAGATCTTCAAAAATGGCAGCACTCAGAGTGGGTTTTACATGATTAAACCACTGCTAAATCTAGCCCGGATCAGAGTGTACTGCGATATGACAGAGGGGGGTGGATGGACAGTCTTCCAGAGACGCTCAGATGGCAGTCAGTCATTTGACAGGTAAAGAAAACTCTATTGTTGTGAGAAGAGATGCATACTGATAAATGAATGAAACGTGATTTTTTGATTTTCATTTTTAGAGATTGGAATGATTATAAAATAGGATTTGGTGACATGAAGTCCGCTAATGGAGAGTTCTGGTTAGGGAATGATAATCTGCATTATCTGACATCTCAAGGTGAGCAAATCTATGTATCTAAAATGCATGTAAACTGAAATAAATATGTCATAATAGGCCATAATTATATGTATATACAGGTGCATCTAAAAAACCAGTGCCGATCCTAGACTTCTGGTTCTGGGCAGAGCCGATCCTCCCTATACGCAAAATACGGAAGCTGCGTAGGGCCCCCGAAACGGGCCCCCTTGCTCTCAAAGATAATTTAATTTTAGTTTCGTTTTTTAATTTGGCCAGCGATTATGAAAACATGAATGATGGAGTGAAACATGGACAAAAGCGTTTCATTCATTAAATTATAACCACTCATACCCCACTCCACCACCGACACAGTTTTGCGTAGGACCCCCAGAAGCAGTGTCGATCCTAGAATTCTGGGGGCCCTAGACTTCTGTGTAATTTTGTTTATCTCAACCAGTAATTGGTGGGCGGAGTTAGTGTAAATAGCTTCTGCCAACGAGGTGGACTATTGCACTTAGTTTAAATAGACACTTTGTTAATATTAACATTTCAGATTATTTAAATGATCAGCCCTTGGAGCGGCCCTCAAAATGCGGGGCCCCAGGCAATTGCCTGCCTTGCCTGCCTTATTGCTACAGTATGCCTCTGCTTGATTTAAATTTAAGTAGAAAACTAATTGCAGCAGGTTTCTTTTATTTGTTGTGCATATGCATGTCTATCTTCTGCAAGATAAATTATTCTTTTAATGGTTTTACTTTTGGAATGAAAAGTCTCTCTCTCTCTCTCTCTCTCTCTCTCTCTCTCTCTCTCTTAAGGATCAGTGTGCCTCACACATGTTTTTCCCATTTTGTTTTTATGGGTGTTTCAAATCAGGTATTCGTCCCTGCATATCAGACATTCTTTAATAAGGATTGTTCTATTTATTTTGTAAACAAATATGCATGTGTTTTAGATTTACAGAGAATTAAATGTGTGCATCAATGTAAATTACAGAGAATACTTTTTTTTTTTTATGTAAAAAACATCTAAACTTTAAGGACCATTCATTTGTTTTACTTCAATTTTACTTGAACAGATTTAAGGATTGAGATCAGATGTCTCAATTTTTTATTAATTTACAGAAGATTTTCAGTCTTCTTTGTGACGTCTCGGGAGCTGTTTGTAGTTATCTGCACATCTGTTTTGATCCAGAGTGACTCAGCTCAAAGTAGTGCACATCCAACCACAGGAAACTTTGTCAGGCACCAGAACAGACCTCAGAAGCATCTGTACAAGCTGCTGAGATTGTGGTTGTTCTTTAGTGCTTAAATTGCACACTGCATCACTTGGTTTACAATCTTTTATCTTTAAATACAGCATCAAATAAGTACATCTACAATGTCAGTTTTGCTCATCATTTGGATACTTTGTACTACTCTGGATTTGTCAGACTCTGTAAGTATTGTCTTAAAATTAATTTTGCTTCTTTCTTATGTGTTTAAATTACATTTAGTTACACCTAAATGAAACAGTGTGTTTATACTTTATTTGTATGTTGAGTTTACAGTAGTCATTCTGTGTGTTGTGTGTTTAGACTCCTGACGAATGTGAAGATGAGATACAGCGTCTTCGAGCGGAGTTGAAGAGTTTGGAACTTCGCCAGACAAAGCAACAGCAACTTATTCAACGATTAATGAATCACAACCAGATGGATGAACATTCCCTAAAAGCGGGCTCATTTTATGACATGGGAGACAAACAGTACATGGGTCAAAGCTCTATATTATTTTCTTAAGATGTAGTATTCATTGTGTAAATATGTTATACTTGTCTGATTATAACAGCACAATGTAATACTAACAAAAATCAATCTGCCACAAACAGACTGTGCTCAGATCTTCAAAAATGGCAGCACTCAGAGTGGGTTTTACATGATTAAACCACTGCTAAATCTAGCCCGGATCAGAGTGTACTGCGATATGACAGAGGGGGGTGGATGGACAGTCTTCCAGAGACGCTCAGATGGCAGTCAGTCATTTGACAGGTACAGAAAACTCTATTTCATTGATGTGAGAAGAGATTTCTACTGATTAATAAATGAAACATGATGTCTCCATGTTCATGTTTAGAGATTGGAATGATTATAAAATAGGATTTGGTGACATGAAGTCCGCTAATGGAGAGTTCTGGTTAGGGAATGATAATCTGCATTATCTGACATCTCAAGGTGAGCAAATCTATGTATCTAAAATGCATGTAAACTGAAATAAATATGTCATAATAGGCCATAATTATATGTATATACAGGTGCATCTAAAAAATTTTTAATATTTTATTTCCAAAAGTGAAACTTTCATATATTCTAGCTTTATTACATGTAAATTAAAACAAAAAATTGAAAAGTAAAACATTTCAAAAGTTTTTCTTAGTAGTCCAACTCTTAAGTATTTACATATGTAGTTAAAAAAGCTCTTCTCCTGCATGTAGCACAATAAAGTTCTCCAAATATCCTTGCTCCATCCTTGTGTTTTCCATCATAGTATTTTTAATTTGATTAATTTCTTAGTTAATATTAATAATAATTAAGAAATAAATCAGAATTAAAGAGGAAAGTTTTATTAAAATTGCATTTTTTAAAAATGTATTGAATATAGAATACTAAATGATGTTGTCATAATTTATAGCAATACCTGTCAAGGTCTGTCAAGGTTATTGTAGCTAATAATTAACATCCAGAAGTAAATATATCATTCAAAGTTCTACAGAAAGTGCAAACACCATCAATATCAGGGTATTTAGAAAACCGACAGAGTATTTATAGAGCTGTTTTAATGTAGAAAATAAAATTTAAAACATTACATTACATTTACATTTTATATTAAAAAAAATTCAAAAATGTATAGGGTTGAAGTTTAAGTTAAAGATAACCTCTATATAATAATTTTTAAAGAATTAAATAAAAAAATGTTGAAGGTTGTATTTTTTTTAAACTCTTCTAACACTGACACACTGACAAATGTAGTAGAGTTTTTATAGTAGATTATTATTATTATTATTATAAAGATAGCCTATTATATATAGAATTAGAATATACTTTATTGTCCCGTTTCTGGGAAATTCATCTTGGACAACCATGACATGGCCAGTACATAACTCACACAACACGTTACAACTCACAATAAATTACACATATCAAATATATTAAAAAGCTACAATATGCCAAACAAACTCCTCATTTTTGCACTTCTCTGTTGAATAGTTTAACAGCAGTTGGCACAAAAGAATTATTGTAGCCATATGATTTACACATCAAAATCCTCAATCGTCTCCCTGAGGGTAACATATAAACATTCTCATGTAAAATATGTGTATCATCAGCAACAACTTTCTTAGCTTAAACTGAAATAAATATGTCATAATAGGCCATAATTATATGTATATACAGGTGCATCTAAAAAATTTTTAATATTTTATTTCCAAAAGTGAAACTTTCATATATTCTAGCTTTATTACATGTAAATTAAAACAAAAAATTGAAAAGTTAAACATTTCAAAAGTTTTTTTGTTTTAATTTTTAAAAACTTTCATGAGCTGTAAGCTCTAATCATCAAAATTAGAACAAAAAAACTTTTGAAATGTTTTACTTTACATGTAATGAATTTAGAATATATGAAAATTTCACTTTTTGAAATAAGTTACAAAAAAAACAACTTTTTCACGATATTCTAATTTTTTGAGATGCACCTGTATATTATCCGCAACCCTACATTTGAAGAATAGATGGATATTATAGATGGATATTATTATATTATATTATATTATATTATATTATATTATATTATGTGACCCTACATAGGACAAGCAGTTTGAAGAATGTATATTATATTATATTTTGCACATATTTTAATAAAACACCTTCTGTTGCGCAGACGATTACACCTTGAGAATCAATCTGGAAGACTTTGAGGGCAGCCACCGTTTTGCAGTGTACAAAACGTTCAAAGTGGATAATGAACAGGTCTTTTTATTAATCTCTTCATAATATGATAAATTATGTGTGGATAAATATACTGTGCCCATTATGAACCAACAGGTGGCATGTGAAGTTCCTAATAGATCAGTACAGCGGGGTGTATAACTGTATTCTGTTTCCATTAAGAACAAAAAGAAGTGTTACACAATATCACAATTTATAAATTTCATTTGACCTGAATGGTATAATATCTGTTTATTTAGTTAATGTTTTAAACGATCCCATTTGTCTTCTCAGAACCATTACCAGCTCCAGTTTGGCGTATACACAGGAAACGCAGGGGACGCTCTCTCTGGCAGTTATCATCCTGAGGTTCAGTGGTGGGCCAGCCATCAGGGAATGAAGTTCAGCACACGAGACAGAGATAATGACCGCTATGATCGCAGTTGTGCTCAGGAGGACAAGGGTGGCTGGTGGTTTAACAGGTCTGCATCTGTAACAATGACAGAGCTTTTCACATTCCAGTTATAATGACAACTACAACATGTATGAAAGCAGTTCTTCATTACATTAACTATGAACATTTGACAACCAAAAGGCGTCCAATATGTTTTGTATGTTGTTTCACCTGTATTCCTCTAGATGTCACTCTGCCAATCTGAATGGATTCTACCACAGAGGCCCCTACAGCGCAGTCACTGATGAAGGAATAGTGTGGTACCCCTGGCATGGCTGGTGGTACTCCCTCAAATCTGTGCAGATGAAGATCAGACCAGCCAGTTTTGAGCCTAATGATGTTTAATTCATGGATCTGATATCTAAACCATGAAGACAAATTACATTGTAGTCCAGTTTAGTAGTCCAACTCTTAAGTATTTACATATGTAGTTAAAAAAGCTCTTCTCCTGCATGTAGCACAATAAAGTTCTCAAAATATCCTTGCTCCATCCTTGTGTTTTCCATCATAGTATTTTTAATTTGATTAATTTCTTAGTTAATATTAATAATAATTAAGAAATAAATCAGAATTAAAGAGGAAAGTTTTATTAAAATGGCATTTTTTAAAAATGTATTGAATATAGAATCCTAAATGATGTTGTCATAATTTATAGCAATACCTGTCAAGGTCTGTCAAGGTTATTGTAGCTAATAATTGACATCCAGTAGTAAATATATCATTCAAAGTTTTACAGAAAGTGCAAACACCATCAATATCAGGGTATTTAGAAAACCGACAGAGTATTTATAGAGCTGTTTTAATGTAGAAAATAAAATTTTATTTAAAACATTACATTACATTCAATAAAAAAAAAAATGTATAGGGTTGAAGTTTAAGTTAAAGATAACCTCTATATAATAATTTTTAAAAAATTAAATTAAAAAAATGTTGAAGGTTGTATTTTTTTTAAACTCTTCTAACACTGACACACTGACAAACGTAGTAGAGTTTTTATAGTAGATTATTATTATTATTATTATAAAGATAGCCTATTATATATAGAATTAGAATATTAGAATATACTTTATTGTCCCGTTTCTGGGAAATTCATCTTGGACAACCATGACATGGCCAGTACATAACTCACACAACACGTTACAACTCACAATAAATTACACATATCAAATATATTAAAAAGCTACAATATGCCAAACAAACTCCTAATTTTTGCACTTCTCTGTTGACTAGTTTAACAGCAGCTGGCACAAAATAATTATTGTAGCCATATCATTTACACATCAAAATTGGTATCCCTGAGGGTAACATATAAAAATTCTCATGTAAAATATGTGTATCATCAGCAACAACTTTCTTAGCTTGTCTTAAAACAGATACCTCATACATCTCCTGAATAGGTCGTTTGGCTTCCCAACCTACAATTTTTAAAGCAGTCTGTACAAGTCGAGCAAGTTTTGGACAGTCAGATTTCCACACCATTCTGTAATACCATATCT